TGCTTAACGACAGGCTATGGGCGTAGCCAGGGAGATTGGAGCTCAGAGTTGAACCTCCCCCCTCCCCCGCAAACAATTTTTGTGTCAAATGGAGGAGGGGATATCTGAAGCTTGAGGCCTATTTTCTTCATATTTTCTCTGTTCACGCATTGACTTTTTCTTCTTTTAAGTGAACTTTCCTTACTAGAATATTGATGGGGGAGTGGCGTCGAAATAATCAGCCTGACTTCGCCCACTGCAGGACAAAAGCCTCTCCCATGATCCGCCAATCAACCTATATATATATATATATATATATATATATATATATATATATATATATATATATATATATATATGTGTGAAAAAACAAGAAATAAAAATAATCCAGAAAAAGACTCCGGAACACGGAATCGAACGTCGGACCTCTCAAATGTGAATGCGAGGCGTTAGACACAGAACCACGAAGGAGCACCTCCTTCCACGTTCGAACGGCCATCTTTTTATATCTACCACTTACCGCTGGTGACGGGCATCTCGGGGGGGGGGGAGCTATCTTGTTTTCAGCATTACCATCAAGATGGCGCAATAAGCGCGCGTCGCCACATCGTAACGACGCGGCGGTGCGCGCCCTTATCAGCCACGCGTACTTTCCCCGCGGAGAGGAGGTAGGTTTACGCTCACTCGCACGCCCTTATCTCGCCGTGGGAAGCATCGTACGTCTCTGCTGGATTTGGATTTTCACCGGAGTGATTCTGTTGTAGTTACCGTGCGCACAAAACTAACTGCAATCGTTGCACAGTCCGTTTGCAAAAAAGGCGCGCTTTTCAGACCTGGAGAAGTAACAACTGAGACGCTTATTCGCGTTCTTTTGTATTTGTGAGTACGTTTCGTGCGTCATTTGTGTGAGAGAAACGCGGTGAACGTTTCGATCTGCTTGTCATTTCGCGCGTGACCTTCCAATTTGTTGCTATCGTGTTCATTACTCCGCCTTTGCGGCAAAGCCGTGACTTTTGCAATCTGATCGGCCCACCTGACTTTCTGTCTCCCCTTCGTGCGTTTGCCTTCTCTGGGAATCCAATCAGTTACCCTTAATGGCCAGCGGTTATCCTGCCTACGTGCCCGGCCCATGCATGTCTTCTTGATTTCGACTATGATATCCTTAACCCCGGTTTGTGCCCTGACCCACTCTGCTCTTTTCTTGTCGTACGCGAAACACCGGCACAGGTGAGAGTTCGCTAAAGGCTGGGGCACACCGGCGGCTAGCAGCGGTCGCGCGACCATTTGCGACTGGCGACCAAAAAGCGACTGATGCTCACACCGGCAGAGGCTGCATGCGAGTGACCGGAAGTCGCAAAAGCGGAGAGTCACGTCCGGATCTCGTTATCAGCGAGAACTTTGGAGACCGGCGCCGATGAGCAAACCGAGCTCGCCATATTTCTCTTTTTGATCCGTTCTCGCCAGTGCAATGAAAAAAACAGAAAATTGAGCATTTCTGATTGGTTCCAGCAGCTTGGCGACCGCAGTCGCGCGACTGACATTGGTCAGGAAGCGACTAACCAACCGTGTGCGACCGTTCGCGACCAGGCAGAATTGGTCGCGCGACCGCTGCTAGTCGCCGGTGCGCACCAGCCTTATGCGGCCGTCGAGGGAGCGCAGGTCACGTGCGTGTTTGTATGCACGTTTTTCCGATAACTGATGCTCTTTCGATTGTGGGCTTGCCAGCGATCACACGTGTTTGATATGGCAGTTTGATCCTTTATCAAGGTGATGCCATTCCACATTCGCATATTTCATGGTTTCCTGGGTTTGAGCGCGTGACCGTCGTTTTTCCCTGAGTTGACTGAAGTGTTTTGTTGCCAAGCGCGTGAATGGATGTCCCATTCCCGGCATGGAGAGTAATGAAAAAGTTAGGAGGGAGCATTGTGTAATTCGACTCGAAGCAGGGAAAGTTGTACGCGACCAGGCACAATTGGTCGCGCGACCGCTGCTAGTCGCCGGTGTGCACCAGCCTTATGCGGCCGTCGAGGGAGCGCCGGTCACGTGCATGTTTGTATGCACGTTTTTCCGATAACTGATGCTCTTTCGATTGTGGGCTTGCCAGCGATCACACGTGTTTGATATGGCAGTTTGATCCTTTATCAAGGTGATGCCATTCCACATTCGCATATTTCATGGTTTCCTGGGTTTGAGCGCGTGACCGTCGTTTTTCCCTGAGTTGACTGAAGTGTTTTGTTGCCAAGCGCGTGAATGGATGTCCCATTCCCGGCATGGAGAGTAATGAAAAAGTTAGGAGGGAGCATTGTGCAATTCGACTCGAAGCAGGGAAAGTTGTACGCGACCAGGCACAGTTGGTCGCGCGACCGCTGCTTGTCGCCGGTGTGCACCAGCCTTATGCGGCCGTCGAGGGAGCGCCGGTCACGTGCATGTTTGTATGCACGTTTTTCCGATAACTGATGCTCTTTCAATTGTGGGCTTGCCAGCGATCACACGTGTTTGATATGGCAGTTTGATCCTCTATCAAGGTCACGCCATTCCACATTTGCATGTTCCATGGTTGCCTGGGATTGAGCGCGTGACCGTCGTTTTTCCCTGAGTTGACTGAAGTGTTTCATTGCCAAGCGCGTGAATGGATGTCCCGTTCCCGGCATGGAGAGTAAGGAAAACGTTGGGAGGGAGCATTGTGCAATGCGACCATAAGTAGGGAAAGTGTCACGCCAGGCATGCACGCACCACGCTTCAGCTAGTTCGCGTTTTCCGCCTAGTCCATGAACACCGAATTTATTTCATTTGCAGTGACAACAGTAAAAAGCTCGATTTTCCGCTTACGACTACCTCAACAAGACGGCCAGATGGGCTAGTTTGGGGAACATTCATGTTTAAAGCGCTGTCCTGTCAATTTCTCAGTTTTTGTGTCCTCGTATTATGTGCGCTAAAGAAGCTTTTGCCTTAAACATGTACGACTATCTCCCGCCCGCAGCGACCGTGAGTGCTTGGACTTAATACTCGGACGTCATGAGAAGCTACGGTAAGGTGGCTAGTGGCAGTGAGCGGATTCATTGTGGGAGCGATCGCTTTAGCGCGCTTCCTGAACGGTTTACCCGACTTCCGGCGTTACGTGCGGGCGTCCAGGCGCGTCGGAGTTCTCTCCTCCACGAGTGGTGGTGGTGGTAGTGGTTAGAAGATGAGAAAAGGCACCTAATTTCTGCAACCCAGTCGGGAGCACGGCGCAGTGCCGAGATCTCAGCGAGTGCACGAGATCACAAAGGCGCGCGAGGAGACGCGTTGCTTGTGCGTGCCGCTTCAAACCACCAGTCGTTCCGACTCGTCGCTGCAACCGCTGCGTACGACGCTCAAGCCTCTTATTCTAGTCACACTTTGTATTTTTTATGGAACATTACGGCGTCAGCGAAATTCACGTTGATTGTCCCGTGCAATTATTATAAAGATGGTGATTACAGAAAACTTGACACATGTGAATCACTTTATCAGAGATAAACAGAGTGCAAGTTTTTGCAACCAGCTGCTGCACCTAATGCAACGAGCGTTAAGGGGCCCTGCAACAGTTATCTGAAGTGTAGTAGAATAGCGTCACTATCAATACATGATGCTTCTCAAATCACACACCATTAAAGTATTTTAATCTGCCAAGTACGAATGGAGTCGCAGGGATTTGTCACACGCTTCAAGCACTTCTTTTTTTTTTTGTTCTTTCGTACCAGTGAGCAGGTTTGTCAGGTTTGGCTACTTTGCACCAATTCAAGCAATTTTCTAGACCTGTGGGGCAGAAAGAATGTCTTCACTACGTGGCTACTTTTTGGTTACTTGCTAATTGACTCAATTCATCGCGGTGGTTTAGTGGCTAACGTATTTGGCCACTGACCCGCAAGTCACGAGATCGAATGCCGGCTGCGGCAACTGCATTTTCGATAAAGGCGAAAAATGCTGTAGGCCGGTGTGCTCAGATTTGGGCACCCGTTAAAGCATCCCAGGTGATCGAAATTTCCGGAGCCCTCCACTACGGCATCTTTTATAATCATATGGTGGTTTTGGGGGTGTCAAACCCCACATGTCAACCAAATGATGCAAATCAAACCTAATTTTCATTATCTCGTGGCGTCGCCGTCACGGCTGTTCAAGTAGCGGTGAGAAAACATGACGAGAGAGATGTGTTTCCAGCTACTAATTTGTGTTTTGCATTACTGAAAAGAAGACTTTGGATAGGTGGCCGGGAATTGGGGCGGGGGGGGGGGGGGGGGGACTGCTGCATGGCACATGATTTCGCAGACCACCTAATTTCTCAAGTGAACAGGACAACCTTGAGTATTTTGTGTCCGGCACGCTCCCCACTAGCAAAAATAGAATATCTGTTGAACTCCTTGTGTCGTTCTTTAATATGATGCACAAACTGCATTTTGAAAATATTGATCACTCAAACTTCATCATCACGCGAAAAACAATTGTAGAAGTGACTACAGTTTATGCTTCGATCACAGTAATTATAATGTTGGGCATACTGGTGCAGTACTGATTTGCAGTGTCATAGTGCTTCTAGCCCTTTTACGAAAAGTCACGCTAGAGGTACGATTGTCATTTCTCCTACAGCTCAATTCATCATCCTGCACAAAATGATTGCCAAAGTTAACAATTTATGCTTTAACTTCCAAAATTATAATTTTGAAGAGCTCTTGCTGTACTTGTTTGGATTTCCACCAGAAGTCAGAATGAGAAAGCAGGATGAAATCATTTGCATAAGTGTGTCCAAGAAATCCCTAAATAATTGTGTGATTGCAGAACAGCATGACTTGTGCACTTCAATGTGGTAAATTTCATACGGTCTTTAGAGTATTCTCTTTATAAGTATATTTATCAGGAGAAGAAGAGGGGTTTTTTTTCTTGATCGGTATACTTCAAAAACATTTTCAACCATCTCTTGTTCCCAAATATTGCCTGCTTTGAAAGCAGTGCATACTGTTAATTTTGTCTTTCTGATTCACGAAACTTGTCTGATCTTGTCGCAGATGCCTAACCAGTCCCGGAACTTGGCACGTGCACTACCTGCGGCACATTTCGACAACATCCGTTCTCGGTAAGCAGTCACTTGTACGTCACATGTGTCGGCAGTTTTTTTTTATAAGGAATACCTTTGAACATTGTCAGAGAGCAACGAAAATGGAAACAAGCTATGGCCACTTGTCTCTTTCAGGCGACGACTTTCGAGTTATCAAGTGCCCGCAACTAGCCGAGTCCTTGAGCGAAGGCGACATACGGTGGAACAAAGGTTTGTGGTTTCATTGCATTGCCCTTTTTCCATTGCATTCTCGCCATGGCAAGGAGGCAGGATAGGTAACGAAAATGTACACATTTACACTTCTGTCTTTGCATGAAGCATTAAGCATGTTGTGCTCACCAAATGCTGTGTGAGCACTCTTCTGCAGGCCTTTTAAGATGACATTCAAATCACAGGGAGGTTGAAAAGGCATGATGATAACTATTCAGCATGAGGCTGAAAGATGGTCTATAAACTTATCAACAAGGTGGCATACCAACAACGTGCATTCGCGCGCCATTCTCATGGTCAGTGGGGCTTTTGCATATTCCCTGCTGTTTTCTGCCACAGGCTTTTCCATTAACCCTGTAATGCACACTGTATCATATTTGATATATTGAATATAATACCTCAATAAAGCTACTAAAAGCTACTATAGGTGTCATGATAAGCAGCAATCGCAGATTTGACATGTTATGAAGAAGGTACAGTGGCTTACATATTATAGTGTGGCAATTATTTATTTCTAATTAATTCTAATTAAGTTAGGTATGCCTCAAACAAAATTTTATTCATGTCTTTCCTAAAATGGACTCTACAAGAAGAGTGAAAACAGCGTTTTCTCGCAATTTTTCTGAAGACATAACTGTTTGTGGGCATTACAGGGTTAAGCTTTTCTACTGCTCATAAAGCACTGGCTCATGCACTTTCCCTGACGTAGGTGTTTAAACATCCCAGAGGTGGTTCTTTCTGAAAACAGCAACTCCTAAACAAGGCATATTTCGAAGAAGATTATTATTACATCAGGGCATAGTGGATTTTTATCTCCCAAACTGATGTTAAGGCAGCCACAGCCATCCCTACGAACACCTAATTATGGTGCTAATTACGCTTCAAACTGTTTAATAGATTGCCTTGGCTAATTTTCTGGCATGCATATTAGTGAGGTCTATATGCTTTGTTGTTTTTCTAGCCGTTGGCGACACCGTAAAAGAAGATGAAGTCATCTGTGAAGTTGAGACAGACAAGGTAATGTAATGACTGTATCTAATTGTCTTAACCGACGACTGCTGAGCTACGCCGTAATTCATGCGTCATGTGTTGCAGCTGTTTCGGGAAGGTTTAACGGCCTGAACTTTTTGTCTTGCACACGAATCGCTTTATTATTGGTTATGTTAAGTTTTTAGTTATGTTCTTTGACAATTGTCCCACCCACCCCTGTAGGCTTTGGCCATATGGTACTGAGCAGCGAGGGCCACATGTGTGGATTCAGGCTGTTGTGGTAGCAGCCTTGATTAGAGACAGACGAAAGCGCACTTGAATGTACTGAAAGATTTATGTCCTGTGAAGCATAGATTCATTGCCTTTCCAGACTTCAGTGCCCATTCATGCACCTGCCGCTGGAGTGGTTGCCGAGCTTCTCGTAGAAGACGGCGCTACAATCCAGCCTGGCAAGGACATCATGAAGCTCAAAGTTGGACCTGGCAAGTGTTCACTTCACTTTTGTAGTGTTAAGCAATGTCACTGGATGTCACGAAAATGCGGCCTCGTGTCCTTCGCCTTTCAGAGCACATATAATGTGTGCCCTGGAAGAAGTTTGTCTTTCGAGTTGCAAATAGTTTTTGGCTTGCGTTTTTGTAGTTGCAGTGATCCTACGCAAGATTTGTTGTGTAATAAGTTCAGCTAGCGCATATGCCTTCTAGAGGGAAGAATTGTGAAGCTGTTGCTGTGTCATTAAGTGTTAAGCTTCCAATGAGCTCATTTGCTTACACATTTTGAGCACTACTTTTATTGATGAATGTTTACATGCAGTTAATAATTCTGTTTGTTTATTCATTTGTTTCTACTTACTGCAGTTTTCTTGGGGCTCTTACATGAGTGCGGATCATACATCGCACGTCAAGTAGAGACAAAAAATCACAATACAGCAATTCTCGAACAAGTCCTGGTAAAGAATTGCAGTGTTCGACCATCAAGGAAAGAAAACTCTTTGAACATGTTAGTTCCCACTTGGAATGTTCGACGAATATGTTGTCAGTTGTGGGGTCTGAAGTGGCGAGTGCCATGCTTTTAGAGTGAACGGACACAGTTGACATGGTCGGACCGAACCAAACCAAACAACAATCATTTATTTAACTGGTTTTAGATCGACGATATCGTCAACACAATAATCGTACATCAATTGTGATCAAACCGCTAAAAACCACCTTACACAATATTACACAACACTCAACAATATAACAAACACAAGAATCGACACAAGGCGGCTTCGCCAAAGCTTGACTTACCACAAGGGCCCACCACAGATGGCCCGCGGTGCTGCCTTCGTTAGGCCCACTGCTAGAGACTACCGTTTGCGCCAACCGCCAACCGCCAAACAAAACCACTCATATTTCGTGCGCCGCCACCCAGACTTGCCGCCAGGCATCACCATCGGCGTTCTGCACTAACCATGATGATGATAGGGATGACAAACGCTCGCTGGCAAAACGCCACCTACTGCTCAATTGTTTTGATCTCCTAATGGCAGCCTATGTGCGAGGCACGTGCGCTACTCTTGCACAAACAACTTTACAGGGGGTGTCAGCATGCCCACACAGTGAATGCAGTTGCGTCGTTTTCAATGTGCCTCCACCTCTTTTCACATTCCTAAACTCGTTGCCTCTTGAATGAACTACCAACTATCTAACGTTTTCACTCAAACGGAGCTTTCATACTCTGACAAGACGCATTCTCGTGTTTTAGGGGGCAGCACACCGTCTGCAGCTGCTCCACAAGCAGCGGCGCCGGCCCCAGCAGCAACGTCACCACCACCGGCAACAGCCGGGTCAGGCACGGGCGAACTACGGACTGTCAAGTGCCCACAGTTGGCCGAGTCGCTGAGTGAAGGAGACATCCGCTGGAGCAAAGGTGCGCTCTTACCTCGTTATTATTTCCAGCAGGATTCCTTCTTCATCGCCGATACCACAAAGTTTCATAACACTATACTCGACCACAACTTTTCTTGGCCCTGAGGGGAAAGTTACAAAGACGGAGCTTCTGCACATGCAGCCCTACATGAAATAGTCTGTTTCAGCGTGTCTCGTAACGCTGTGGAAAGTGATAGGGATGCACCATCGGCGTTTCATGTAGACGCAGATATTGCTTAATGTTTGAGGTACACGTAAGAAAGTGGGAATTTCTCGCTCATTCAAGAACGTGAAGTCACAATCAATTAGTTAAAAGAAATACAGGTGCATTTGTTATTAATAAATGTTTATTCTCTCTGTCTCAGCTATTTCTAAATAGCTTCATGTAGAAAATGAAGGAGGACCTTTTATATTTCACATTTGAAAATGCGAGCACCATTGTGGAACTACATTCATTGGGGCTAGGATGCACGTAATTCGGCTCAGTATCCTTTGTTTTAATGCCAAGAAAAGTTGTCGCCGAGTATATAGAAGGAAATCTGGCGCTAGTGTATATACGAGCTGCAATGCATGGCACTTCAGTAGGCATGGAAATGATGGGCAGTGCATGGCTTTGCTTAAACTTCGTTCTTTCGACTCACTGTAGCTCTGTGTGGCTCGCAGTCACTCTGTCACAAGGTAAAGCTCTGCAATAGTTCAGCAGTTCCACTTTGCCACCCTGGCTCACCAGTTTGAAGCACTGCATGAGGCTCACAACGTTTTTTTTTTTTTTTTTTTAATTAGACGCCAAAATTTTGGTCTATCTGTCTGTCTGCACATTTGTCTGTTTGTCCGCCCATAATGGCACCTCAAACGACACCAGATGATACCCCAAACGACAGACCCCATCCACAGCGCCCACCAATATTGCTCAAGTTTAAGCGTTCATACTTGTGCGATATCCAATTCGAAAGCAAAACTGCGCATATGAGAGGCACCATAACAACACGTCGATGTTTTATATGTGTGCCTTTATACGAGAGAAGACACACGCAAGTAATTCTAAGGACCGTAGCGTTTATCACGCTGCGCTGACAGTTCAACGCGATGCTCAAAAAGGCAAGTGTTTCCAACACTTTGCTAAGACGACACGGTGGTGGCACCTGCTCGTCGCTTTGCGTTCTACTCCTTATCGCCTCCGAGACAGGTACCTGCGTCTTTCATAATCATATGGTGGTTTTGGGACGTTAAACCTCACATATCAATCAAATCTGAGACAGGCACATATCTTTCTTTGCTGGTGCACACACCTTCCTTTATTTTCGAAGATAACTGCCAGATAGCGCTCATGTCTAATGTGCCTCAATTCGCCTTCGCTGCACGAATCGAGATTCTCTCTAAAACAGTGCTTCCAGAATACAATTCACTGATTTTCTCGCACAGAACATCAACTAAACGCTTTGTTCACTCTCTCCACATGCAAGACTATCGTCTTTCGACGACATTTGCAGTGAAACGTGCAGATACTAGGCCAATTTTTTTATCCGAAACAAAAGCCAGAACACAACAGTTAACAAAGCCAAAAGTGCATCTGAAGTCGCAAGTGTGAAGACAAATGTGACGCAAGTCTATGTAGTACTACCCGTCATTCCCATCATGGCTGAATGATCGCAGGCCCCACAGTTCCCTCCAGTAAACATTTCGGGAAGCTCTATGACCTACACTTCAGTTATATTTGTATAGTTTCAAAATTTTTTATAATTACTTCTACTGAAGGAATGGATATTGTGAATTAAAAATATGCTGCCAACAAAATTGATATTGTGAATTAGAAATATGCTGCCAACAATGGGGAGATCTTACTTTCTTTTTTTGCATAGTTTCAAGGAACTGAACTTTGGCATTTTCTTTTTGTCTAGCTGTCGGCGACACTGTGGCCGAGGACGAAGTGATCTGCGAAGTAGAAACTGACAAGGTACGTTGGCAACATGCTACTTTGATGGGACTAGCAATTAACTTTCATCAACCAGCTAAGTTATTTGCCAATGTACTTATTAATAATCATGCTCTAGGCATTTTAAATTGACCTTTTGCTGCATTCCGCGGACTGTGGATCTATGGAATGAGCTTGACGGGTCTCTGCGCAAACTCGATGCTCAGCAGTTTGTAAAAGAGTTGTGTAATTATGTATCTTGTTTAATTGTATCTTTTTTTCTGTGCTGAACATCTGTATCCACTCCTGCTATGTCTTAATAATCGAGAGAGCAGTATTATTTATAAATAAAATAAATAAATTACATGCAAATAGTGGCAGATACAGTCGTTTTAACATTTTCTCGTGCTAGAGTGGCAAGCGTTTCATTAATGCATCAGGGATTGCAAAACCTATTGTTCAATACAAAAAATGCGAAATGTTCAAATAGAGTCAAACAGGTTGCTGGTGATAAAGCAAATTTGTCTTCAGTTGCTTTGCTTTATAAATAAAAAGAAAGGTGGCCACCTAGGTGCATTTAACTGACATCTGTGGATTGTGCAAAAGAATGATTAAAAGCTTATTAGATTGAAAAAGGGGGGCTTTGTGTCAAATGGCAGGCATTTCTATTGTCTTTTTGTTTATTTTTTTCATGTTTCCCACGCTTTTCTCTATCATAAAGTTACCTTGGCCAGACGAGTGTTTTCAAACTTTGTTAAGCGAAAACAGTATTACTGTAGACTCGTGGCAGATGAAACTCTTAAACAATATTACTGCCTAATTGGAATAACTGCCTCCAATATGATTGGTTTTGTACTTAAATTCTGCACTCCTGCATATCTCTTAGTAAGTGAAACTCCTGTTAAATGAAACACATTTTCCTGGTCTCTTCAGGTTTCATTTAAGAAGACTCTACTGTATGTAGATTGATATTACTACCTGTTTTATTATGTATGTGTGAAGAAGTCTTGCATCAGTGTGATTTCAGTGTAAAGCTGCATCTACGCACTGCTGCAATGTATTTTTTATTTATTCATTCATTCATTTATTGAGTCATACTGTTAACCCTCACTTGAGGGTCATTACAGGGAGAGTGCACAAGATTACATAAATATTTAAGTAGCATTTGTAAGATGAATTCTGTAAGACATAGCACACTTGTATAAAACACATAGTAGTTGCGTGCTTTTCACTCGTAACGATATGCTTTGGCCGCAAATAACACAAACACAAAGTAAAGAAACGCTCAACGACAAGCACAAGCAGCACCTCCAACTAAAGTAGACCGGGTGCAAATCCAGACTTAAGTAACAACATACAGGCATGCACAGTCTTCACACAGCCTTACGCTATCCAGCTATCGAACAATCTCTTCTCTGATAAGTACAACGTCACCGTTGGTTCGCTGATACAACTTTCACTTTTATTCTTAATGTAATATGCTTCCATCAACTCACGCACAGTTTTATGCCTACTTCTACCTAGAATCCTAAACTCGTTAAAACATGGTACACACCCACAGGCTTTACAATGCATAGGCAAAGGAACATAACTTTAAGGTTTGTAAGCACTGATTGATTTTAAGTTGATATTCTCTGCATGATACCGGACAATAGATTAGGTAGTCATCTGCAAATAGCTTAATTGTAATCACTATAGATGTCTAAGCTTCATATTTGTGCTATACTTGAGGTTCTTGGTTCAATGATGTATTTATTTATTGTTTTATATATCTTACTCTTTTTCCCACACATGTTTAGCAGTTGTATTTTTCGCACTTGTATTGATCTTTTAGGGGTGAAGCTCCTTAGGTTGTGGGTCTGTCCATCCTCCGTTGGTGTATGTAGCCACCAGTGGCACTTACCCGTTCTAGAGAGGGTATGTGCCACAGGGGATGCGAGATTGGAGATTGGGGTACTTGGAGTGTTCACTAGACGAACGCACGGATGGACGGACGGACGGACGCACCGACATATCGACGCACGAATTGACGAGTGGACGGACGCATGGACAGGCAGACGGATGCATGGATGGTCGTACGGATGAACGGAAGCAAGAACAAACGAACGAACGGAAGCGCGGACGGGTTGACGAACACTTCGCCCCACTCATCATCATTCACTCTGTGGATATGCTGTGATTTTTTATATTTTCATTTCTTTTCTTTAATGTACCCACCTCTCCATGTAATAAGTTTAAACCTCATTATAACAAACTTACATCTTACACAAAAATAAGTTCATTATATTCAAAAATTTTTATAAAGGAATATGCATAACACTATACATATCATAACACTTTCTTCATTTACTTTGTTACAACCAATATTTCTTTATATCGAGGTTTTAGTGTATTGTTGTAGAGGGCCCTTAGGGATATTGTGCACAAATAAACAAACATTGTAATAGGAACATTCTCACATTGTGATAATACGGTCAGAATCGGGTGGCACACAGCTACGATGGGTAAGCCTTTTAATTGTGTGCTGTACTTTAACTATAGCAAACACCTTTAGCATATTCAATGTTTAACAAAAGGAACTATTTCAGACCTCAGTGCCAATTCATGCCCCAGCCAGCGGAGTTCTCCTAGAGATTCTGGCCCCGGATGGAACCACAGTACAGCCGGGCAAGGACATCTTCAGGCTGCAGGTCGGAGGTGAGACTCCCTTGTTTCACGCCTTTGCAACAAAAGTTGCTCGCTTCAATTGGCACTGCGCCGACACTTCTTGAGGGGTCACTGAAGTGTAACAATGACTTGGTTTAAATCGACCAACTGCACTCGGAGAAGTTTAATGCCTTGTGTTTCTCTATCATATATTCATTATTAGTGGCGAAAATCGAGGTGGAAGTTTCATTTTTAAATATCCCGTCAAAATCTCCGTGTGAGACGTAGAAAATTTGGAAATGTATTTTTAATTTTTTTGTGACACGTCTATTGTTCGTCTGTTTCACGTTTTTGTGGCTCGGTGAAATTTTCTGAAACTTTGTATGCTAGGGGGGTCTCTGGCACACACAGATGACAACGTTTTTCATTTTTATCGATTAGAGGCTACATAGGACCCAGTATATGCATTCAAGATCTGTGAATTCACAGTGTTTGGTGCGGGAATTTCAATGTGGCTTCTCCACCCACATTTTCTTTTCGCGCGTTTTCTCGTTTGCCAAGTGTTGTGTCCCCACATGAGTGGTGTTATTGGGATTGTGAAATTGTACTTTATTAGTATACACGAAAACTCGTTTTGCTCCCTAGTGTTTCTTTAAAGCGCACTTTCAAATGGCCTTTCAACACTTTTGTAGGATAGCATAGAATGACCTTACCGCCAGACTCTTTTGCCTCAAGAACGTTGTTTATATCAATCAATATTGTGCTGGCCAGGCACTTTGTTTTACACTTATTGAAATCTATGCGAGGGAGTGTGGCAAAGAGGGCAGTGTGCTGTCAAGAAGTTTCACCACTGTGCTTGATGGCCTTGGAACACTTCCTCTACTTGCTCATTCAACCATATCGACTGCTACTTCTTGTTCAAACATGCGCAGCAATGACACGGGGCAGCACCATAGGTAGCAAGTGTGGGGTTCGGGGTGTTGTAAATCAGAAAATAATGCGAGCAAGTGCAATTAGTGCTATTAGGTACATTGGTGTAGCTGCATACATTGGTGCAAGCTACGTTCACAGCAACTTTGGCTAGGTGTAACAGTCGCTTTTTTGCCACCTCCCATTCCTTGACAGACAACTACCAGAAACACTAAAAGACAACCTAACAAAAAACAGACAACTACCTGTATGTGGCACAAAGCCTCAAGGAAAACCGTCTGTATTGGTGGTTGGCTATTTTTCCTTTCTCAACACTTACGCCACCTTGCAGGTTTCCACAATACTCATTTACATTACTTGTGTCAATGTGATTCGGGTTGTTGATGAATTCACTCTCATGCTGCCAATTGCCAACTTCCTGGTTAGCTCAGTTGGTAGAGCGACCGCCCTAAATAGGCGTTGGTCCCGGGTTCGATACCCGGACCAGGAAGAATTTTTCGGCAACATGGAGGCTTTTCTTGTGGCTTCATGCCACAAACAGGTGGTTGTCTATTTTTCCCTTTGTTAACCCTTCCGCTAAATGGCAGGTCTCTGCAGAACTCATTTGCATTCCTTAACATTGTTTTCAGGTGCTGGTGGAGCACCTGCCGCGGCACGAAGAACAGCTCCGGCACCAATGCCAGCTCCAGCACCAACGCCAGTGGCCAGCACACCACCTCCAGCCGCATCAGCGGGACCAATACCAACGGCGCCGCCTCCGACGCCAGCAATGCCCTCAGGTCAGCAAAGCACGCTCATAAAAGGAAATACTGTTCGAAATGCTTTTCAGCAGAACTAGTTCATTCATGACTAACAGTGGTTTAAGCGATAGAACTGAAAATTAGGAACAAGAAGAATACGGGCAAAGACATCGCTGTACTAACTGAATTTTATTTCCATGTGCATGGCTAAATCACTAGCCAAACATGCCTGGTCACTAACAGATAGTATCCAGCGATAGTACTAATTGGTGCCCGGTTTCATTTCCACTAACTGGTTTTTAACTTCCAGAGAGATAGAAAAGTTCTTTGAAATGAACCTTCATATCTCCCTGGCAGGTAAAAACCAAGACTCTGTTATATATCCAGTGTTCAAGTGGCCAATAGTAGCATAGACATGTATTGCATGCATTTTATGAATGCAGTGCGTGCGTTAAGTGAGTGCCTCCAAAACGTGCACGACACTAAAAACCAGTAGACAAGCAGTGCACGGGCAAACGAAACAGGGTGAAGACAACGATGAGGAACATTGGCACGAGGGCGCTACATCAGCAACATAAGAGGAAAGTGGCACAGTCAGCAGTTGCCATGGAGGTCTGAGGGGCCAATGACTTGTGAACACGGCAACCCAGGAAGCCCCAATGGGAAGCCGATGAGTCAACCCGAGGAGTGCCACGGCACTTGGCAAGGTGCTCTTGGTTCGTTCTGGCAGAAGCAAGGTGGAGGCAGTTCACCAGAGTCACGGTAGTAATTTCTCCGAGTGCCTGGCAGAGGCCAAGAGTCGGAGCGGCTTGCTTCACTTGACCTCAAGCTTTGCCGGTCTGCGGAGCCAGTGGGAAGCTACCGCAGCCACCAGGTCCACTGTCGGGCGTTAGCGCGAGTGCTTGGCTGTGGCCCCTGGGCCGCGCGTTCGAGTCTGCCTTCGTCGGCCCTGTCTTCGGCACCTACCTGCTCAATCGTGCCTACATCTGAGCGTCGCCTTGCTGTTGGCCGAATTCCTGCAGTACCAACGTTCCCGTGTTTCACCTCCTCTATGTAGACGAACCTCATATAAGCTCCAAACACTCATCGATGAGACGCTCTCCTGATAGGACTTGGCATGTGCATTGATTTTTCAGGGTTTTTCTGTGTTGTATTGCGTTGTGTTCTCGTGTAGCATCGTTATTGTGTGCCTATTTTTGTGTGTTGTTTTCATAAAGTGGGGAAAAGAACTGAAAACAGCCCAGCCATTTTATTACCGACATTGTCCTCATTGACACAACGAAGTCTGCAAAGTTTACATATTCTGAAGAACCTCATCACAAAGTACGTCTGTAATGATGTTCACCAACAATCTAGCCCACTTTACAACCTTTGTGGGTACACAAGCTTGATGATAACTCCGCTTCCCATATTTGTAGGACCGATGGCCTCGATCCCGGTGTCCAGCATTCAAGTGCCAGGTCCCAGTGCGCATGCCACTGCAGCGGCAGCCGCAGCACCAGTGGGCGGCGCAAGAACAGAACAAAGAGTAAGGAGCCATTTTTCAAAGGAAACTGTACTCTCTGCAGCAAAAGTATACAGAATGCGAAATTTTCATTAAAGGGATACTGGACGAAATTTTCGCCGTTGAGAGAAATGGCCCAGTTGAAAGATTAGGGGGTGAAATGTGTCCAAACAAACTTTATTTCAGCCAGAGACTAGCAGAAAATAATGAATTCAATGGATTTTTTGCTAATTATTCTGTCTAGCAGCTATGCCATGCAGTAGACAGGAAGTTACGCGACACGCACCGAATATACTGACACTCCGACCCCGCTCACTGCACAGTTGCTTACCAATCAACATTGCAAGTCGCCACCCCCGGTGATTGCAGCTACAATGTACTAGAATATACCGGTATATTCTAGTACACTATACAGCAGCGGCCCCAGCTATGGTGGCTTCGTAACCCCAGCCACTCACTTCTGCGTATCTCTCTCAAAGCGTGTTTCAGCCAGCTGATGACCAGCAGCCAACGACGCCATAGCCATGCTGTAGCTCTTTGCCATATATTTTTCTCAAGCAGAGCTTTTGTCCACGTCTACAAATGTACCATTAGTGTTTTGTGCTGCTACGTAATGTGAACAATGAAGCACCCTGCAGAATACCTCAACGCTGCTCTGCGCTGGAGTATGGGAAAAGCAGCGTAGGGAGAGACAAGCCATGTCATGCCTTTCACACAGAGCCAAAGCATCTAAGTATATACGGATTCATGCTGCGCGCCCATCGCAACCAACGTGGGTGCCTTGAAAGCGTGCCTTTTGTGATCTAAACACATTGAGGATAGTGACTATGAGACGAGCTATTCGATGTTGCTGAAGCTCGGCATCTTAGCGAAATTGCAGTCCGTAAAGCCTGGTGGTGTCCTCTCTATTTTTCTCGTCACTCATGGAACCGCTGTCAAGGCCGAGACAGATAGTATGATTTTATATACGATGCGACATGCCACATCGGGTGGTCCAGCTTGCGGCGCACCATAGATCGGCACAGATGGGGCGAACGAGCACTCAGCCGTAGGCTCCACCTACTCATGGTGCCTCGGCATGCACACTCAGAAGACTTCGTATCCTCGCAATGAAGCACAAAACAAACCATTTTGCACGCCCATTTTTCGTTCTATAAAAAAATAATCAATAAAACGGCTTCGTGAACGACGAGCACATCGCAGCAGCGGCAACAGTGCCCCATCACCATACCGATAGGTAGGCATGGTGGATGCCGGTCGTTGCATATGCCATTCGCAATCACATGCAAACTCTTTTGACAGCACAATTAAGCTTTGTACTCGCATATAATGCCATTAACTTTCTCGACGTCATCGACGCGAAGAATGAAGGTGGAAGCGAAGCGGGCCGGCTCACCGAGGTGCCGTCATCGCTGTGTTTACCTGCGAAATAGCGTTGCATCACTGCTCGCAATCACACTAGCAGTTTTAAAACAGGTGCTGTCTTGTAGAAATGGCACACTTCAAGCATCACTTTATTCAATTCAGAATTATTTGTCATCACAAGCGGAACCAACGTCTATCAAGCCGCCGCAGGCGGCGATGTCGGCGAATGCTCCGAGCTTTCACTCAATCGACTCGCCACAGGGGACGCTGCGCAACGCTGAGAGGAGAGGTGGAGAAAGGGAAGTAGTCATGCGGGAGAGAGTGCACCGGTTGCCCACCTCTTGCTGGTGAATGTGGCGTCATGGCCAAAATTAAGCGCACTGGCATGCAGCGGCCACGCACTCACATTCCACTAAACATACGGCTCTCTGCTTGAAAATACGTGAAATAGGCTCTGTTTATAGGAACAGTTGCATTATCCCAGTCGAACTTCAGTGTTTTCGTAGTATCTTCAAAATTTTGTTCAGTATCTCTTTAAGGGTTTAGTATATTTACTTTTCACTCATTTTTACTGCGTGTTTGCATTACACATGCCGCTCCCTGGTTGTTATGGTACTTAACTGCTGGCTCGAAGGTTGCGAGATTAAATCTCCCTCAAGAGGAAGATATTGTCACGTTTCTTAAGACAAACTTGGTTTATTGGGTTCGTTGAGTCGACTAGCCAAGCAGCAGCTCAGACAGATCGTCTTTGTCTTCTTCCACTCCCGGATCTCACCCAAGCATATCAGGTGGCATAAGTCCCTCCTTTGAAAGCATCGACTCGATGCTCGTAACGAAAAAAAAAATGAAGGCATATACACGCAGATACAGAGAACCAAAGGAGGGAGAGTGCCAGTACTTGCAGCCCAAATGAGGAAATTGCGCCAATGCTTGCGCCAAGCGCAAAAACAAAAGGCATAAAAACACAGGAGAACACGAACAGCAGCAGCAGCAGCACAATGTCACGGCTTGTCGCAACGCGTGAACCACAAGGGCTACTGTGTGAAGTACGGCTTCAGCCTAACGACATGCACGGTTTCGGGCCGAAGCTGTCGACGAGAAGACGCTGCGCCGTCCGGAAATACCTCGTAGGTAAGATCGGTGACACGTCTAAGAACCTTGTACGGTCCAAAATAACGGCTTAGGAGTTTTTCGGATAAGCCTGGTCGCCGGACAGGGGTCCATACCCACACTCGGTCCCCAGGGTGGTAGGTGACGTTTCGATGGCGGAGGTTGTAACGTCGTGCGTCTTCATCTTGTTGGCGACTGGTGTTTATGCGAGCTAGCTGACGAGCTTCTTCGGCGTATTGAGTGTATTCCTCAGCGTCTGGAGCGATTTCATTGCTTAGGTCACATGGAAGCATAGCATCGAGCATGGTTCGCACGATGCGTCCGTAAACGAGTCGGAAAGGCGGAAATTGCGTTGTTTCTTGCGTTGCCGTATTGTATGCAAACGTGATGTACGGAAGAATTTCGTCCCAGGTTTTGTGTTGTACGTCAACGTACATTGACAGCATGTCCGCTATGGTCTTGTTAAGCCTCTCTGTCAGTCCATTCGATTGCGGGTGATAAGCCGTCGTTTTTCGATGAGTTGTGCAGCTCAATTTAAAAATGTCCTCCATCATTCGTGCTGTAAATGACGTCCCTCTGTCCGTAATCACGCATGACGGGGCACCATGCCGTAGGACGATTTGGTGCACGAAGAACTGCGCGACTTCAGAGGATGTGCCACGGGGTAACGCTTTTGTTTCAGCATACCGAGTGAGATAATCTGTCGCAACTATAATCCATTTGTTCCCAGAGGACGACAAAGGGAAGGGTCCAAGAAGGTCCATTCCCACGAGGTCAAACGGTGTCTGTGGTGGTGCGATCGGCTGGAGCAGGCCTGCGGGTCTCACAGGCGGAGTCTTGCGACGCTGGCACTCACGGCAGCCTTTCACGTATCGATGTACACTTGTTGATAGTCGTGGCCAGTAATACTGTTGGCGAACTCTGGCGAGAGTTCGCGAGTAGCCCAAATGTCCTGACGTGGGCTCGTCGTGGCACGCAAGGAGGATCTCGTCCCGCATTTCGGTAGGAACAACGAGTAGGAAGGCTTTGTCGCTACCACGGGCGTTTTTCTTGTAAAGAATACCTCTTCTTAGACAAAAAGAGGACAGTTCGCGAGCAATGTGTCGAGGGACCTGAGAGTTCCGGCCTTCCAGGGAATCAATAATTGGGCGTAATTCGTCGTCTGCCCGCTGTTTTGACATAAATTCGGAATCGCTGACTGCTCCGAGAAAGGCATCTTCATCCTCGGAGCCCCTGACAGCGTGCCCCACAGGCGCTCGAGAAAGCGCGTCGGCATCTTCATGTTTGCGCCCTGACCTGTACACAATCGTAATATCGAACTCCTGCAAACGCAAACTCCACCGAGCGAGACGGCCGGATGGATCTCTGAGATTTGCCAGCCAGCAGAGCGAGTGGTGGTCAGTCACCACTTTGAAGGGACGACCGTAGAGGTAAGGCCGAAACTTGGTCGTCGCCCACACGACTGCGAGGCATTCTTTTTCCGATGTAGAATAGTTGGTCTCGGCTCGAGAAAGAGTACGACTGGCGTAAGCTATTACATGTTCGACGCCACCGTGTCGTTGTACAAGGACAGCGCCAAGTCCGACGTTGCTGGCATCTGTATGAATTTCTGTAGCAGCGTCCTCATCAAAATGGGCAAGAACAGGGGCTGTTTGCATTCTCCGCCGTAGCTCTGTGAACGCTGCATCTTGTTCTGCGCTCCAAGTAAAAGGCACGTCATCCCGAGTGAGTCGCGTAAGAGGTTCAGCTATCTTCGAGAAGTTGGCGATAAATCGGCGATAATACGCGCACAAGCCGAGGAAACGGCGTACTGCTCTTTTATCTGATGGAACAGGGAAGGCGGCGACAGCAGCAGTTTTGTCTGGATCAGGTCGCACTCCATCCGCACTAATGACATGCCCCAGAAATTTCAGCTCTTCGTAGCCGAAATGGCATTTTTGGGGTTTCAGCGTGAGTTTAGCTGTGCGAATGGCGTCCAGAACCTTTCTCAGACGCTTCAGATGTTCTTCGAAGCTCTCGGAAAAGATGACCACATCATCGAGGTAGACAAGGCAGCTTTGCCACTTCAAGCCAGCGAGAACTGTGTCCATCATCCTCTGAAATGTGGCTGGGGCAGAACAGAGGCCGAAGGGAAGAACACGGAATTCGTAAAGTCCGTCTGGAGTCACAAACGCAGTTTTTTCTCGGTCTCGTTCATCCACTTCAATTTGGCAATAGCCACTCTTTAGATCGATGGACGAAAAATACTTCGCGCGTCGTAATCTGTCGAGAGAGTCGTCAACCCGTGGAAGCGGGTAAACGTCTTTTTTCGTGACGCTATTAAGCTTCCTGTAGTCAATACAAAATCGCAGCGTTCCGTCTTTTTTCTTCACTAGAACGACTGGCGAGGACCAAGGGCTGCTGGATGGTTGAATAATCCCGTCATCGAGCATATCTTTCACTTGTGTCTGAATAGCCGCACGTTCTTTGGAAGAAACGCGATAAGGCTGCTGCCGGATGGGGCGGACGTCATCGTCGGTAATAATTCGATGCTTGGCGAGGTGTGTTTGATGGACTTTGGAAGAAGAGGCGAAGCAAGACCGAAACTCCTTTAAAAGGTCATGAAGTGCAGCCTTTCTCTTGTCTGACAGCGTCGAATTAATGTCGATGTGGTCTAGGAATTCGTCCTCATGCGTTTCCTCAGACGCGAAGCACGCCGTGACGTCGGCAACAGGGTCTCCATAGGCTACGGTGGTTCCGCGGAAAAGATGCCGGTGCTCGTAGTTGAAGTTTGTAACTAGTATTTGTGACTGTCCGTTACGGACACGCACAACACTTCGGGCAGCACATACACCTTGGAGTAGCAGAAGTGATATGTTGCTTTCAGCCACCACGTCACCGTCCCGGAGGTCTTCACAAATGACTTTGATGGGAACAGTCGCTCGGGGCGGCAGCGTCACACTGTCATCAGCAAGACGCAGCGCAGGTCTATGGCAGTTACCAGCGTCTCGATCTGTTGCGCCTTGAGTCGAGAAGGTCACGATGCGTTCACGGAGATTTATGATGGCACCGTATTCCCGAAGGAAGTCCATGCCGATAATCAGCTGACGTGAACAGTCGCGCAGAACGAGGCAGCTGAGCACAAACGTTGACGCACGAATTTTAACTCTTGCCGTACAGCGACCCAGTGGTGTTACAACGTGTCCTCCAGCAGTTCGAATTCGCGTTTCATTCCACGGCGTAATCACTTTCCTGAGATCTTTTGCTAGCCTCCCGCTGATAATCGAATAGTCTGCACCAGTGTCTATCAATGCATTGACCTGAAAACCGTCAATCAGCACAGGTATGTCAAGTGACACGCGGTCACTGGGTTCAGATGTGGATTTCGGCGTTCCTTCGGTACTGCGATTATTCTCTGGTTGGATGTCTTCCGTGTTGCGTGCAAGCGTCGATGGGAGGTCTTCCGCACTTTGAGTCCCAGCGACCTTGCCCCCGAAGGCCGCTGCCTTCAGTTTTCCCGACGGGGGCTTGGAGAGCGTTCCCGTGCCGTCACATTGAAACGTGACCCAGTGGCTGCGGGTCTCCTCGGAGATGGTGACCGTGATTGACGTCGTGTAAAGGGTGCACGCTGTTGCGCGAGATATTCTTCGATGTCCCTCGGCCTTTGACCAATTTGGGGACGAGGTGAATTGACGGAAAATCCACGCAGGCCAAGTTGCCGGTATGGGCATTCGCGGTAAATGTGACCAGCCTCACCGCAATGATAACAGAGGGGTCGTCTGTCCGGCGTACGCCAGATATCAGACTTGCGCGTCGGTGCACGGCGACCATCGATGTCCAAACCAGCGTGCGCCGACTGAATCGCGACTGACGGCATCATTGTCTGGATCGGGACGTATGGAACTGTCTGAAGCGGAACGTGCGGCACTGTCTGGATCGGGACGTGCGGCGCTGGCTGGGTCGGGACTCCTTGACCAGAACGAGGCGTGGCAGATCGCAAGGCTTCCGCGTACGTACGACGGCGACTGTCAGTGGACACAGGAGCCGTTTCCGGATCAACCGACATCAGCGGAAAACGATGGGCGTGCAACACCTGTTGGACCTCGTCACGGATGACACTGGTGATAGAACCAACATCGATTGGTCTTGCCCGTACATCTTTTCCATTTCTTCCCGGACGACAGATCGGATGATCTCGCGAATCCATTCGGGGCTCTTGCTCGCAGGGGTGGCGAAAATTTCGGAGGTTGAGGCAGCATTCACTTGACGGTCAAACAGGGCAGACCGTTGGTGCAGTACTTGCTCCATTGTTGCCGCTTCAGTAAGGAACTCAGCAACACTCTTAGGGGGACTACGCACCAAACCAGCAAAAAGTTGTTCCTTCACACCACGCATGAGGTGGCGCAACTTTTTTTCCTCTGCCATAGCAGGATCCGCTCGCTTGAAAAGCCGTGTCATGTCCTCAACGTACATCGAGACGGTCTCGTTTGGCATCTGGATGCGTGATTGTAGCGCACGCTCCGCTCGTTCGCGGCGGTCGGGACTCCTGTAGGTCTCCAGAAGGCGACGCTGGAACTCGCGCCAAGATGTCAGAACATCATCCCTGTTCAAAAACCACGTCTTGGCACCGTCCTTCAGGCAAGTGTACACGTTCCGGAGCTTCGCGGCATCATCCCAGTAATTTATCGCTGCGACACGTTCGAACTCACTCGGCCAGTCGTCAACATCTTCATGCTGCTCTCCATGAAAGGGGCTAGGCATAAGCGGGTTCTGGACGGTGCAGTAGATCGGCGTGGAAGGTGTCGGAGCTTGCACGGGATCTTGTGTCGAAGTCATAGTCGCTGCGTCAGTGGTTGGTGTCTCAGGTGGTAGGCCTCGTTGGCGGCGGCTTACTCTGTGAACAGGAGTGTCCACGGGTACAGGGCTTGTGTTCCGGCTGCTGGACGGGGTCTTGGGCATCGGGTGGATTGCGAGACGTTGTACCCAGCAGCTCCACCAGTCTTGTCACGTTTCTTAAGACAAACTTGGTTTATTGGGTTCGTTGAGTCGACTAGCCAAGCAGCAGCTCAGACAGATCGTCTTTGTCTTCTTCCACTCCCGGATCTCACCCAAGCATATCAGGTGGCAATATATAACAGCTGTATCTTGCCGGTACTTAGCTACGGAGCAGAAACCTGGAGACTTACAAAGAGCGTTCAGCTTAACTTGAGGACGACACAGCAAGCAATGGAAAGAAAAATGGTAGGTGTAACCTTAAGAGACAAGAAGAGAGCAGAGTGGATGAGGGAACAAACGGGGGTTAAGGATATCATAGTTGAAACCAAGAAGAGGAAATGGACATGGGCCAGGCTTGTAGCCCGTAGGCAGGATAACCGCTGGTCAATATGGGTAACTAACTGGATTCCCAGAAAAGGCAAGCGGGTTAAGGGGAGACAGAAGGTTAGGTGGGCAGATGAGATTAAGAAGTTTGCGGGTATAAATCTGCAGCAGCAAGCACAGGGCCGAGTTAACTGGCGGAACATGGGAGAGGCCTTGTCCTGCAGTGGACGTAGTTAGGCTAATGGTGGTGATGATGATTAGTGGTGGGCACATTTTCAATGGAAGCCAAAATGCTTTCAGCCCGCGTATTCAGATTTAGGTACATGTTAAAGAAGCAGGAGGGGCCGAAATTTCCGGAGCCAACCACTACAGCGTTCCTCATAATCATATCGTGGTTTTAGGACATTAAACCTCTACAATTACTTTTACTATTATCCGTTCTCTGCTTACTGCATCTTTTCTTTTTCATAGTCCTATGAAAAATATAATGGAGGGGTTGTAATCTATATGGGGCTTTATGGGCCAAAACTATGGTGTGATTAAGCGTGGAAACTTGGGCAAGTTTCATAGGCAAGCACCACTCACAGGCCACACGTGAGATAATGGAAACCTATCACATAAGTAAGTTTGACGGTACATGTGTAAGTTTCCCATCAGTTGCGCTATTGAAGAAAAAGATTGCTTATCTCAATCATTTTTAAGCTATGTATTTGTTAAATCAACAAGAGACCAGAGTTTTGCTGACAATGTTTCCAGCACTCTTTTCTATCTTTGTTTATTTGCTTCCTTAGTTACACTGTAACTACTTTTAAGTTGCGCTGTTCGTATATTTAGCTATGGTGCGATTGTGAGGCGCATCATGGAGGAGTACTCCACATTCATTTTGATCGCCTGGGGTTCTATAATGTGCACCATAATTTAGAAGCACTCAGGTGCTTGTCAGTTTATTCTCATCAATATACATAAGCCATGGCTAAATATTCAACCCACATCATCACACTTCAGCGTATCTTCAGCACTACAGCATATCTGCGCAGCTTCTACGATAGGTTGCGTTTGTAAGTCACAGAAATTTTAAAAAAAAAAGGTTCCCTAGTGATGGTTCTTAACAGAAATCCGTTCCCTTTTTTCTACTCATTTTTAAGCAAACTGAGTTCCAATACTCACCGTAGACAGCTAAGTTGATAGTGGTTATCTTTAGTTCCATTTCAATTATCTCGTAGCCGGCAAAATAGAGAGCTTTCAGAAAACAGCATCGGAGACAAATACGATGTAGGCTACTTTGCTGTCCAAACAAGATGGCAATTCAGCAAAATTGTCGGATAGCTCAAATTCTGCCGATATGCTTTGGCAGGCACTCAATGTTAGCTAGCGCTTGAAATTTCTCGTACAGTTCCATTTCTCATGAACACAAAATAAGCTACAAAATTAACAGTTACATTTGTTTTTGCTAGCTGCTTCTTCATGATGCAAGGGGGCGTAACATCACATAGACGTCTTCTAGACAAGTTTTGTTTCACAGACAAAATTGGCTCAATGCTGTCTTCTAAGCTGTCAGCGAAGCCTGTCTAGGATGCTGTCCAGAATGGAAACACAGCCTCTTACGAAGCTATCTGTAATTCTCAAAAAATCACTCTGTGCTGTGCTACCATCTAGTTGTGTCATGCTGTTCTTGTTGATCTGACCCATCCCTCTTGTTTTTGCACAGGTGAAAATGAACCGAATGCGGCAAAGGATCGCACAGCGTCTGAAGGACGCACAAAATACATACGCCATGCTGACTACGTTCAACGAGGTTGACATGACGTAAGCACCTTTATTCCTATTTTGAAGTTGAAGCGTTGCTACTGGAGCTGTCCTCTCACAATATATCCAAGCAAGCCAGATAGGCTAGTAAACGGTCCATTTGTTGGCAGAGAAAAAAAAGTAGTGGCGTGTTCATTCATGTGATCTCTGAATTTCACTATAAATTTCTGTTGCTTTTTTCTTACCTTTCTAATTAGCACACGCAGAACTTGGCACCGCCGTGAGAAGTGATTATTTTGCATGTTCATCATTTTGGCAGGTGACCACTGCACCAAAGGCTTTGACATTGCCTTACCCTTTGCTACAGCCTACAGGTTGCATGGCAGCTGTCAGAGAGCCAGTAAACAACCCCACGGTCTTAAATTTCGTTTTATAAAAGTTCTCGAGCATAGTGTCTCTCCTTAAGAGAAACACCAATTCATTTCTGTTTATACCGCCACGGTGGTCTAGTGGCTAAGGTACTCGGCTGCTGACCCGCATTGTTGTCGGATCGAATCCCGGCTGCAGCGGCTGCATTTTCGATGGAGGCGACAATACTGTAGGCCCATGTGCTCAGATTTGGGTGCACGTTGAAGGACTCCAGGTGGTCAAAATTTTCGGAGCCCTCCACTATGGCATCTCTCATAATCATGTAGTGGTTTTGAGACATCAAACCCCACATATCAATCATCATATCAATCAGTCATCATGCACCGTTAGACGTAAATCTTCTGACATACAAATCCCTCATTAGATCTGAACTAGAGTATACCGCACCCATCTGGAGCCCGCACCAAGCACAAATTAACGAACCAGAATCGGTACAAAATTGTGCAGCTAGCTTTATTCATTCTTCATACTTGCACAACATCCGTAAAACATTCAACTGATGTTGCTAATCTCGGTCTGTGTCGCCGCATGGCCACTCTCCGTTTGCTTCTTAAATTCTATCAAAGATCTCTCATTCAAGCACCCTGCATCATCCGACCGACATGCATATGCCACCGCACGACCCATTTTTGTTCAATCGCACGCGCACGTGCTGGCATGACTACTTTTTCTGCCACAATTTTTTTCTTCGCACAGCAGGGGATTGGAATGGCCTTCCCTGTGACATTGCAGCCATTACATGTTGATCAACTTTTGCGGACTGCGTACTATTGCTCACCATGAAGACCGCTCTCTGTAACATATATCTGTTAACTGACCCCTTATGTAATACCCCTTAACCAGGGTCTTTTAAGGTATTCAAGGGAAGTGGATAAGTGAAGTCACTCCCGTTACAATGTGGCGTACATACTGTTGCGCAGGAGTGTCATTCAGATGAGGAACAAGTACAAGGATGCCTTCGCCAAAAAGCACGGCGTCAAGCTGGGCTTTATGTCGCCATTCGTCAAGGCTGCCGCATTTGCCCTGCAAGACCAGCCGATCGTCAATGCAGGTAAGCGCTGATTGACTAAACAAGTTTTTAAAAATATGCACAGCTTATGCAGAGAATTGGTAAAGGAAAATATGAAACAGGTTGCGCGGCTGTAGCGACAATTGTGAGATCTGCTCAATGTATCCTCAGTGTTTCTAAAAGGAGTCTTCCTATGATAGTGAAATTGCTAAGGTCAATTTAAAATTCAACATTTTTATACTGGGGATCATAAGCATGTGCAGGGTTTCGCCTTCAGGGCGGGGGGGTGAAGGTTCATCAGAGCGCTCCCCTCCTTATTATGTCAGTGTTTGGGGCTGACTTTCTGCCCTCCACCCCCTCCAAGCTGCTACGTCCCCCTCCCTATTATTTCAATGTGTGGGGCCGATTTCGCGCCCCCCTTAGGTGACGGGGGGAGGTGGGGGGAGGCACCTCCCTTGCCTCCTTCCTGCGCACGCCTATGCTAGTGATAGTTTTCTGTTGTTTTTGTTTTTTTACATTAGCTATGGTGGTTCAACTTGAAAGAAGCACATAAATTGTGCATACAATTGGGAAGTAAACCATGCCCCCATCGTTAAACAGGGAAACTTTTTGCAATATCCTTTTTGTACCAGCATTCAATATACCCACTTAAAATATACAGAAGACTGAACCGTCCTACGCTTTCATTTTTGATAGATAATTATGTGACAGCACCAAACTTACCCACGAGATGACACATGCTGCATCCTGCTACGTTTTTGTAAAACTCGTAATTTGCATCGTACTGCACGAAGACATTCTTATCACCTTTTGGGGAAAAAAGAAGATTGTACATGTTTGCAAAGCATATTTAGGCTACCACTTAGATTTTAGCTGATTATAGGAGCATACTGGCAAGCACTCTGAAGTATTTGCTAGACAGAACCTTTCCAGGCAGTTCAGACTAGCCCTTGCAGCGTAAAAAAAAATTTCTATTTTTAATCGACCTTACTACAAAATTACATTATTAAGTTCAATAAAATAGCTTCTGTCATCTATTGTGAACCAAAATATGTAAAAGTAATATTTGCTCATATCGAAGTTTTTTTGCTGCAGTGTTATTGTTAATACCAGTGAGCACGCATGTCTACGTTCTCCGATGGACCATTTCCTTATAGTAGTTTATTTTACAAAAAATTGTAGCACTATTTGTTGTGTATACTTCCGTGAAAGTTTGCGCAGATTTCTTGATATCTAAGTTCAGTTTGGTCATACAATCACCAGGCTTTATCAACACACGCTGCAATGGACCCTAGAATTTTTCTGAGGAAGCGTAGTATCCCAACATCCAAGTGCCTTAGTTCAGTTTCTTGGCAGCAGCAACAGGTCATGCTTTAGATCTTGTCAAGATTAGGTATGGAAGCCTCCCATTATGACAAATTTAATTATAATATGTGGGTTTTAACGTTCTAAAACCACAGTAGGATTATGAGAGACCCCCGTAGTGGAGTTCTCTGGAAATTTCCACCATCTGTTCTTTAACGTGCACTGATGATGTGGTAGTGCACGTGCACTACCACATTACGGCAAATTTCATGTAGCATGAATCAAATTTCAGCCATAAAAGGCCAACTACTAGCAACTGTATTTTAATAACCACCCATGAACAAGGATCCTAATGCCTTTCCTCATAAAGCATTCCTAGCACTGTATCACTCTGAATGCCTAAATCTTGTTCTGAAAGCACGAACGTCATCAGATTTTTTTTTTTTTTTTCTGTGTAGCAAACAGAATGTATGGAAAATTTACATGGCTTGTGCTTCCAGTACTCTAACTCAAGCATCAAGAAAAGACATATTCACTTACGAATATAACGTGGATTTTAGAGAAATTTTAGGTGGCCCGAGGTCATTGGACCTAAGAAAGTTGGGGCTGTCCACAGAAAAATGAGTACTTGTGACTTGATTTCATCTTTTGATGTACTCTAACATGCTTGCATGTGTGTAAATCTAGTATTCTTTTAAGCATGTGGTACAACTGGTGCAGCCTAGGGACAAACAGTGGCTCTTCAAAATGTAAGCTTAATAACAGCTTCAAAAGGTTGTTACGCTGCTCTGAAACAAGGTTTTAGCTGCTCCAGAAGCTGCAGAAGAGTGGCTTCGGACGATCGCATCACTTATTAGTTGTAAAGCACTTATACCGGAATGACCTTGTAAGTAAACAGGTACATTTTTTGTACCTTGTTGAACGTGATAGTGATGTTTCAGCTCTGTTATCTTGGCATCTTGTCATTAACATGGTGTGGCTCTGTTTCCAGTCATCGACGAGCAAGAAATTGTGTACCGTGACTACATCGACATCAGTGTGGCAGTTTCAACGCCAAAAGTACGTTCTTGCCTGATACACATCTTTTGCATTAGTATCTACGTTTTTTTTTTTTTTTTTTGTCTTTAGTGGCTCGTAGCCAATATCGCACTTTGGCTTTTAGCGGAAAAAAAATTCTGAAGTAGTTAGCGTCAGGACAAATCATTCAAAAATGTCAGCAGCAACATATGTCTCATGACATCATGTAGTAATGTCATTACAGCGACATCATTGCCACACTAAAGGTGCACTAAACTCGTATGCATTCCCATAAAGGGTGAGGTGCCGGTAGCAGTGGTGGTGGTAGTAAGTGCCATGCAGCTCACATAACTAAAGCAAGGACTGGATAAAGAAATGATTAAGTTGGAATGATGATGATTATAATTATGCCCGTTAAAATGTTGCCAAATCTTAAGATCAAGATGTAATGCCTGAAGAATGCGGCAACAGTTCCACTGTGCAACAGTTTTCACAGCATGGAACTGACTAGAATTATTTTACTAATCTTTAATCGTAATTATGTTGTCAACACAAAGTAACCCCATCACACCATTTTGTCTTGTATTCACACACATTGTTCTAATAGCTCCTCCAACGTTCTTCTTTCAGGGCCTCGTCGTGCCTGTGGTTCGCAACTGCGAGCGCATGAACTACGCCGACATTGAAAAGGCCATCTTCGCGCTGGGCGAGAAGGCACGCACCGGAAGCCTGGCCGTTGAGGACATGGACGGTGGCACCTTCACCATCAGCAATGGTGGTGTCTTCGGCTCCATGTTCGGCACGCCCATCATCAACCCGCCCCAGTCGGCCATCCTCGGCATGCACGCCATCTTCGAACGGCCCGTGGCCATCAGCGGAAAGGTTAGTTTGGGATGTCTGCCTTCTTTAATTGGCTCATAGTTATTTTGCTTAACTCTTTGTAACATGGCATCTTTAAGTGGAGATACGACTTACCTTTGCTGCGTACTATTGGCGAGGACGATACCACGAACAATGAACTACTGTAGGCTTTCAGAAAACTGAAATCTCATTAACGGAATTGCTGCCTAAATGGAATAACTGTCTTGAACATGTTTGGTTTTGTACTTGATTTCTGACCCCTTTCAGCTCTCATTAAACAGAGCTCCTGTTTGCCTGGTCCTTGTTTGCAAACAGGACCATGTTTGCCTGGTCTCTTCAAGTTTCTTTTAAGTTTACTGGAATAGTAAATGAAAGATTCTCCTGGCCTAAAGGTCCTTTTTGTCAGTTCCGGTTGAATTACATGGTTACACACGAATGCTTTGAAAAAGGCAGTATCATGTCTAATAAGGTGTTGGATGGGGGTGTTTCGTCAGAAATTTCTAAATATATATATTTTTTTTCCCTTTTAGGAGTGCTTGCTGCCAGCCCATAACTATTGCATGTAATTTGAGGGCATTGTTGCTTTGGGTTCATAAAGGAATATAGCATGACTGACTGTACATTAATTAGGTAATACTTTAATGTCTAACTACATTTGATTGCTACAAAATAGCCATAGTTTAATTCTAACACATCCGCTTGCTTTAATTTTGGTCGGTCTTAAGAACTTTGGCATGAAAATATATCAATTTCGCATGTTTATACAGGGTATATCATAATGCATGTCTCAAAAGAATAAACGGTCTCTAATGAAAACTGTTTAGTTACACTTCTGCAATACCAGGAACCGCTTGCTGCAAGATTGCAAGTTTGTGAGCCAAAAAATGTGTGAAAATAGTATGTATGCATAAAACTAAACTAATGTGCAACACTCTCGAGAGACAACAGTGCTCTCCTAATAATAGCGAGGCATTGAAAGTTGTGAACGGATACGTTTACTTGGGACAGGTAGTAACCGTGGAGCCGAACCACGAGATTGAAATGGCGAGAAGAATTCAGGTGAGGTGGAACACATTCCGCAAGCACTCTCAAATCATGAATGGTAGATTGCCACTATCTTTCAAGAGGAACATATAACACAGCTGCATCTTACTGGTACTTAACTATGGAGCAGAAAGCTGGAAGCCCACAAAGAGCCCACACTTAGATTGAGCATGACCCATTGAGCAATGGAGAGAGAAATGACTGGTGTAACTAACTATAAGAGACAGGAAGTGAGCTGAGTGGGTCAGGGAACAAATGTAGGTTAAGGGTATCATCATAGATAGCTGAAATCAAGAAGAAGAAATGGACATGGACTCGGCATGTGACGCGTAGGCTGGATAATTGCTACTCCTTAAGGATAACTGACTGGATTCCCAGAGAAGGCAAATGCACGAGAGGAAGACAGAATGTTTGGTGGGCCAATGAGCTTAAGAAATTTGCAGGTATAACATGGCAGAAGCACAGGAAGGGTTGATTGGCGGAACATGGGAGAGGACTTTGCCCTACGGTGGTCATAGGCAGGATGATGATGTTGGTGGTGAAAATAAATGTGCGAAAAACAAGAAAACATGTGCATAAATAGTGCCTTAAAGCTCACACCCTAGGTAATTTTAAGGTAATTTTAAACGGGTTTGGTAAAGTCTGTGGTTACCAGACTACTGCATTTTCTAAAGGAGCCAGTAATTTAACGTGGTGAGCTTTGGGAATACGTTTTTACAACATAGCCAGATTGCAAAAAAAATATTTCGAATTTCAGGACATGATGCTGTTCAGCTCCCATTGTAATTTGGGGAAAAATAGTACAATATTAAACCTGTGATTTCAAAGGTAAAAAAAAAAAGGAGTTTAAACTGATACATTAATTTTACTGCAGTTCTCTTTAAGGCAGGAGAAGCAACAGCTCAAAAGAGAGGTTTTTGTCATGCAGAAGACACAAAATAGGCTAACGGTGATAGTAATGCACTGATGCACTGACTGCAAATGCCCATGCTTCATGTCCTCTCCATTCACCTCTCAGACAATCTGTACAGGTAAAATGTGCGACCCCGTTATTTATAGCTTGCTGGGATCTCATCTTGTACGTAGTTTATTTCTCTGTCACCACATTTAATAAATTGTACTTGAAACCTTGCCGTTGGTAATGTTAGCTTGAAGGATATTAAAAACACCTTAAAGATTTTATGGGTAACAATTAATGCTGCATCTGGTGTCATCCCTAGCTGTATACTCACATTGACAAACCTTGAAGAGAAACTAGTGCAAGTGTAGGGGTGATTCAAGATAGCATATGCTACCTTTGTTTCTGCTTTATAGTCTTTACACTTACAGACTTGCAGGTGGACTTTTACAGAGAGCTATATTATAAAATGTCCTTTATCAATGGTGTTTGAGAATTGAACTGTACGTGTCGGATATTACTTCCTGACAAAACGAAAAGCCATAAGATCTTGCCCCCAGTTTCTTTTGATGAACGATGTCACGTCTCAGTGACTCCAGCGATGCACTCTCACCATCTCAGCTGTGAATCGCCTGCCCGTTATCACAGATCGAGATCCGGCCCATGATGTACATCTGCCTGACCTACGACCACCGGCTCATCGACGGCAGGGAAGCTGTCACGTTCCTCAAGAAGGTCAAGTCCGCCGTTGAGGACCCTGCCGTGCTTATGCTGGACGTCTAGCACTGAGTCGAAGCCCCACCCCGCACCCAACGCAGAATTGTTTAGATAGAATTAAATGCGTAAGTAGCTTGCTATCTGTGGTCACTTACTGTGCAAGGTTCAGTTCAATTAATTTTTTTTCCCTGTCAAGGTACAATGTACAGTTGTGTTATGCAAGTGGACAGAAAGTATCTAAAATGAGCTCGAAAACATGAACTCACCATAAAATTTGCCAGACGACAGCACAATTCTGAAAGTTGTACGTTATAAAATTCCGTTCAATAGTGCAAAAAGGTAATCCAGAAGTAACAATGTACAAAAAAAAATTCATGCTCCTGTTTTAATATGTTCTGAACATACAACATTTTAACAAGATCATAAATTCAGTCATGGCACAGAAATTCCAGAGGGAAGTGTAGAATGTAAAGAACATGCTCAAATTGGCTCTTTACTTATGTGTTGCATGCAGCTACCTTCTGTGGCTACAATTCACGGTTTCAGGGAGCATGTCATTAACTTATATGTGAATAAGATTCTTGGTCAAGCCAAGGCTACATGCTGCTTGCCCTGCTGCAGTGGTCTAGTGGCTAAGGTACTCAGTTGCTGACCCGCAGGTCGCGGGATCAAACCTCGGCTGTGGCACCTGCATTTTTGATGAAGGCGAAAATGCTGTAGGCCCATGTGCTCAGATTTGGGAGCACGTTAAAGAACCCCAGGTCGTCAACATTCCCAGAGCCCTCCACTAGGGCATTTTTCATAATCATATGGTGGTTTTGGGACATTAAATCCCACATATCAAATAATCAAATAATTACATGCTGCTTAAACTTCGATAGATTTCTCATATTCTAGTATTGACAATCTTTTTCATAGTTCTATGTCCTAATGACCCATCTAAAGCTCGTAGAAATTCAAAACACAACCAGAGCTCATTAGAATGTACTAAACCACATCTTGTGCAAAAATAGCTTTGTTGTGTCCAATGATTCATTATAAATGTGTTTTTACCACTTCTTCATACCCAATATCTCATCTTATCATTATGCATTATATCGGAAGTAAATCTTATATAAGGCAAGCTATATAAGTGGCAAATGTGTAGGTGATATTCTAGTGTACTTAGCTGCTTAGTATTACAAACTGAGCACATAATTCTTGTTTTTCTCTCACTCTTTGTATTTACAGGGAAGCCTGCCTCACCACAATGGACTGTACTTGAGAAAGCGCTCTTCAAAGTCTCGACGATTTTAATTTAGGTTTTTACAACCGTTTTGAGGAAAGACATACGGAAGCTAGGCATAGTAAGAAGTGGGCACGGCCCACAACAAGCGGCGCTGCAGCCCTAGTGTTGTTGCTTTTCGTTCGTGTACAGGCTAGCAGCTTCTTATTATTATTTTTTTGCCATCTGGTAAGCAGATATCACCCTCACTAATGCAGAAAGCTACTACTCGCAAAGAGACGTCTTTGTATGATTGTTTATTGATTGCTTTTACTAGAATGTTTCGAAAGCAGTCTTCTTGAAGAAAAAAAAAACTGGAGAAAGAGTTTGTTTTTGTTTTTACCTTTTATCACTCTTGCCAGTTTTGAGATAAAAGGGCACGATTCATTAAACCATGTTACAAAGCTTTTGTCTTCTGTCTCGTGTTGCCTTAGGAAATAGGCCTTGATTTTAAGTGCATGTTAAAAAGTCATAGCTTTGTTGCAAAGGCGAAGCAATGAATGCAATAGCAATAAATTGCAATGTCACGCGAAGAATGAAAAGCAGATCGAAACGTGCCTCGCTTTGCTCGTGCACAAATCACGCACAAAATGTACTCACAGGTACAGATGAATGCGAACAAGTGTATCAGTTGCTACTTCGCTGTTTTTGAAAAGAGCGCTCTTTTCGCAAACGGGGGTTGTGCAGCGAGTCAGGGACCTTTATGCACCCGGTAACTACAACAGAATCGTTCCAATGAAAGCCCAAGGTGTACGATTCTCCCCACTGCGAGGTAAGTGCGTGCGCAAGCGTGAGCGTCTGCCCCCCTCCCCCCCTCCGTGGGACAAAGTACGCGTGGAAGACGAACGCATCAGCGCTCGTCGCCACGACATGACAATCTGGTGACGTGCGCTCATTGCACCATCTCACTGGTAATTTTGAAAACATGATAGTTCCTGCAAGGTCGACATCGCCAGTGGTAAGTGGTAGATATAAATAGCTTGCCGTTTCAAAGGTGAAGGAGGTGCTCCTTGGTGGCTCGGCAAGCAGGAGGTCGGACGTTCAGAGACAAGTTTAAGTGTTGGGAACATTTCGCGCTCGGGCTGACCTGTACCAACACATTTGACAAAATTCTTTTACTACTTAATTGTGGAAGTTTTGCATCCCACAACCACGACGTAATTAAAAGATGCTGTAGTAGAGGGCCCGGAAAATTCGACATGTGGGGCTCCTTAGCGTAGAATTATAGCCACCGCAACCGAGATTCAGTCCCACAACGTTCGGGTCAACATCCGAGCGCCATAACCACTATACCACTTTGGTAGGTAGCCTTTGACTAGCCAATATCATTGTTCTTGAAAAATCTTCTCATTAATATTGCGATTGCAATTATATGAACATTCTCTGCGGATTTTCGCCGTTGCCGCCATGTCCAGAATATGTGTGTTTATGTATATATATTTACGAAAATCACACAGAAAAGTAAATCAGAAGAAAAAATTCTGAAGCACCCGACCAGGGGAGGGGAGGAGGGGGTGCTATGAACCAGCGAACCCTCGCTCGGCAGCGCGCTGCTTTAGGCAACTCGCACCTAGGCACCTAGCATTGATATACACCAGTTACCGCTGGTTGGACACAGACCGCAGATTAGCTTGAGCGAATTTTCTATCGTGCAACGCTCTCACATTTTCAACTTCCCTGGAGACCCGCATGAAAAGAAGGAGCCCCTCTCTGTACCCAAAGCCCGCGAGGCGGCTCAGGAGCTCGGCATCTCGGTCCCCACGTGGGAGCTGCCCGCAAAACAGTGATCTGTGTTTTTGAGGACCAAATAAAAGTTTATCCAATCCAATCTGTGCACAATCATGATGTGGAACGAAAAAAACACAAAGAAATGTCGGTCTCACCTAGAGTTGCTCTACGTGGCGCATTTAGGTGTCAGAGTTGCGGTTCTGTTCTCCACGTGCCAGTCCTCTGCCATTCTCCAAGCGCGGTCAAATGAAGCAACTCGAAATTGCTGTAGGGAAGCCGACATTCTGCAGATGGTGCAGCCGCCGTTCCACATTTTGGCCTCGTCGGTTCCAACACCATCGCGTCGCATATTTTGGTACGGTGCGTCCCACGTGGCAGCTTTTCTGTGAACGTCTTTTTATTCGCCGGGAATCGCTTGTGTTAATGTGTCAGTGCCCGTCACTAAGCTCTTCCAACGTGGAAGGGCGCAAAGCACTCTACTGCAGGAGTCACAGTAGGCCTCGTTCTGCATAATGTGCGCGCATTCAGAAGTCCGACGGCGACTGCCATGGCTTTTGCGAGTGGAATACGGCAATCCAGCGTCTAGAAAGGCTTGATTGTGCGAGGTAAGTCAACGGCTGAGTAATGGCAGTTTTACTTGTTCCTTGTAGAGCATGCTATCTGGTAGTATGTTTTAAATGTTCTTTGAACACTCGTGATGTAACGTATTCGCACTTGTGTGACCTGCTAGCGTTTATTTCGCGCCTACGACTGCACCCGCTCCTATAGAACTGGGCACTATAGAGAAACAATGACTGTTTAGTTTGATAAACGGCTCTCTGAGAACTATGATGCCGTGAGTTTCACTGTCGTAAGTTAATTGCTAGCAGAGGAAATGGAAGGTTGGAAGTGTGGCAGGAAGGTTGGAGTCTCATTTTTTTTTATTTCGCGCTAAAGTCGCCGCGCATGACGTCAGAAATTTTATAATGTATTTTTTTTGTATTTTCGCTACATGGGTTCAATAAAAAAAAAAATTTATGAAAACTCACGTGTTTGGTCTATGTGATCCCCAGATCACAATGTGCGTCATTTTTACGGATTAGAAACTACGCAGGATGCAGTATAGACATGAAGACGCCATCAAGATCTATGACGTCATGATGTTTGGTGCGGGAATCTCAAGGTGGCGTCTCCGCCCGCATTTTCTTTTCACGCGCTTTCTCTCTCTTCATGCGTCGTCTAGCGGCAAGAGTGGCGTTTTCAGGACTGTAAAATTGCACTTTACTATAATACGCAAAAAAAAAAGTGAGCAGCGTTGACACAGGTGTGCATACATTACTTCACGAGTCTTGACGGAGCTATGGACATAACCTTTAAAATATACAATCAGATATATCATATTCCTCAAAGCAAAGCACAAAGCAAAGAAAGCTGGTTACGCTAATAAAACAAGAACGCGTCATCGCCTACACTGGTTATTGCCGACACCGGGCTAGAACTTCATTTCAAGCACTTGCTACATCGACAAACCGAAAGATATCGTCGAATGCCGCGTCGAATATAACTGGTAATTGCCGACACCGGGCTAGAACTTCATTTCAAGCACTTGATACATCGACAAACCGAAAGATATCGTCGAATGCCGCGTCGAATATAACTGGTAATTGCCGACACCGGGCTAGAACTTCATTTCAAGCACTTGCTACATCGACAAACCGAAAGATATCGTCGAATGCCGCGTCGAATATAACACAAATAGCGCACCCTGGCCATGCACAATTACATCTTTTCTTTGGTTCACGTAAAGTTTGTTCAAGAATAATAATACTGCTAGGGTCATGCACAATTTTTTAAATGTGTACCGTCAACTATAAAGTTGACAAAAGAGCGGCCCCCAACGTCAATGAGAGGTGTCTCAACAGCGCCAAAATGGTCTGTAAGATGGCGGACCTATGAATATGCGCTGTGCGCAACTCTCCCATAGGTGCACCATGGTGAGAGGGGTCTCTCCACGGGTCGCACTTTAAAAGAGAAATAAACTTTATTTACGACCAGGCGTGCCTTCTTTTCGTCCAGAGGGGCGTGACTTCCTCATTCCAGGTAGCCGTCCATGGCTAGCCGCCAACGCCCGAGCCCTTTCCATGGACAAGCCGAAGCTGGTCCTCAGGGTTTACCGACGTCAGCAACGCCTCCCACTGGTCTTCTGGATTTTCTTGTACGCTGTGTTCGTCCAGGGGTGGGACACTCGGGTTGTTTCGGCAGACTCATACCATGTGGAACATGGTGTTTGCAGAGTCCGGGCCTTGTGACAGTTCCTGGTGTAGTTGCCGGGGTACATTACGTGTATATAGTGTACCGTGCGGACAGGTGCCTGCCTGTAGCCTTCTCCAGGTCACCGCTTGTTCTCTACTCAACCTTTTGTTAGCAGGTGGATATCGGTGTAGTCACTTCCAGTAGTGCGCAAGTACGTCGGAGTATTTGTTTGGCATTGGCTCCTCTTCGTTTTCGGAGTCCGAGTGCCGCTGCGGAGAAGTCCGGTATATATGCTATCGGGCTGCGGCATGCTCCACTCGACTCCCGCTAGGGATTCGTGCCCCGGTGTCCAGAGAATACTTGCGTCTTAGAAGTCGCACTTCAGGAGGATTTGAAGGGCTGCATTGCCAATTGATCCCTTTGGAAACCTGTGACATGCTTGTTGTGAAGAAAAAAAAATATCAGGAAAAGCGCCAGGTTCTGCATCGGGGACATTCGCCGTGCGTTGCTCAAACACAATGCCGTAACGATTGTGACAGTTCTTAGTTCATGCTTGTCCTGTGTGTAGCTGTACGTTCATTTCGAGCGTCCCTCTTTGTTCTTCAGAGGCGCGCTGCAAGTGTCGAGCTGTTGGTCGTCTTTGGAGTGACACTTCAATTTCTTGGTATTGCATTCATTGCTTTTCCCTTGCGCTGAAAAAAATTGGTCTCCACTTTTAACAGCCAGAATGCACCAAAACAACTCTTTTTAATTGAGCATCATTCCATTTCTTTGAAAACGAACAAAGCATACACAATTATTCTTTTTTATGACACTTTAACCATGAAAGCCGTATAGTGTACTGCTATTGAAATAAAGCATGATCTTTTCGCTAAATTCAAGGAATCATAAAATTACAGATTTTGAATCGTGATGTATGGCTTTATTTGCCAGAATAAAAAATACAGATCAAGCAATATAACTGCGAATGTTGCGTGCATGTTTGCATTCGTGTGATCTATGCTGTGTGCTTCGATGCTTATTTAATTAAACTTAATTCCCTGCCGAAATGGTACGACTGAGAAAGACATTCTTGTTTTGTTTTGTTTTTTGATGACATAGACATTTACTTCAATACTTACCTGACAAAGTTCTCCCGTGAATGTAAATAGGTACTCTCCTAAATCTATCCAGAAACACTGTCTGTTAGGGGAGTAAAGTTTTACTTCGTTTGTACGGAGTATGTAAAACCCCCATCGGGGAACACGCTAAAGGACAAATCATTTGCTGCCATCTCGGTTTATTTTGCTCACACTGTGTTACTACAATTGCGGCCTTCTCTTGCCCCCACAGCAGGCGGGAGCTTCTACGGGCTGCGCTCTCGACATGAAGGAAAAAAATACGGTGCCAAAAGTGTACCTGGAGCGGCCGTCCACATATAGATGCGCTCTATACATAACAAACTGCCACCCGCGGCGACACACGACGGCCCTTAGTACCAACCAGCATGCGCTGTCTACGGGAGGCGCTTCTCATCAACGCCGTCCCTACGCACGAGCCTTGATGCGGTCATCTACTGTGGCCGGGCCGAAGCAAACTTGGTTACATTGCAAGCGCATGTCGACTACAAATAGTAAAGCTCCTAAAAATTCTAGCCTTGCTTCGTAAAACATTACAGATCGCATTCATTGCTTCGCCCTTTTGGCGAAACTGTGACTTTTTTTTTTCTTTCCTCTCTTTTCAATTTGGTTTGAACCACGTGATTAATTGAAATCTCGAATGGCGTGGCTGTGAATTCTACTGCGTCGGAGGAAATTACCATGTCTGAAGGTCACTTTAACAGTGCGTCCCTGCCAAAGAGGAGCCCATTAGTGATTAGCGGTGCCACAATGTTGGTATGGTATGGTATGGAGAACTTTATTGAAGTCCTGAGGATCAGTCCAGGACTGATGCTGGCTGCTCCCACGTCGGGACAGAGAGGCCAAGCCCCTCTGCCACCACACGGGCTCTCTAGACGTGAGTATCATTCTGAATTCATTAAATGTATAATTTAACTTCATAACTCGCAGAAGGGGGGGGGGGGGGGGTCGGACAGACATCCTGACCACATTTTTCAATGAATTTGCCGAGTATGAGCGCAGATGCACCATACTGAGCCTTTTCATTACACGGAGCACTGCATCAGGACCAAAACCAAGGGTTAAGGCACGAACAGAGCGCCAACTTCCAACTAAAAGCTTGCTTTTGGGATGACACACGCTATGTATGCAAAGTCAGAAGACTGATAACAAAGGCTAGCATAAAACAAAGAAAGATAGCGACTCACGCATGTCGCTACAGCAATCAGAACGTGTCTTGCCATTCGAAAGCGGGGAATCTAGAAACCTCCTTACGTCCCGTCTTCTCTCTCTTCTCTCCCTGTCGTGTTACTCTCACCCGTGCAACGAGTCTCAACCAATTAGCGTGACAACCATAATAGTCGTGCGGAGGGAGGTGCAAGGGGGTTGTGGCTGCCCCCCCCCCCCCCCTTTTTGCCTTGGAATTTTGGATATTTTTCTATGCAGTTGCAATAAGCTACTCTGTTTGATTAGCACTCTCAATACTCCTATATGTGAAATGGCCTTTAGGATTACTAGCCAACTTAACACGTCGTACGGTCAGGTGATGGAAATTTGGTTACCTCTAGTAAATGCCCACCCCCTTCCCCTCCCCACACCCCTTCCCCCTTCACCCACGGTAGATACAGAAAATCCAATATACGTCTTGTGCGGTACATTTCGACTTGGTTTAAAACTTCACTTAGGAGAATATAAAAACTGTACGTGTCAAATAAGTGTCTACGTGCATCGATCAATATTCCTGTTTTGCAGCTAATTAGTTATTATAGTTCCTGTGTTCGCGCGCGCGTGGCTGACTTCGCCAAAGCGGAGGAAATACAGCTGCAACATTAAACTAACTAACTAACTAACTAACTAACTAACTAACTAACTAACTAACTAACTAACTAACTAACTAACTAACTAACTAACTAACTAACTAACTAACTAACTAACTAACTAACTAAATAACTAACTGACTGACTGACTAACTAACTAAATGCAAAATATTTATAAACACACATGGCACGCTTATCCCTTCCCTCGCGCCTTTGACATGAAGAAGTCACTGTATTAGGGAAAATTATTATATGACTTGTAGACATGAATATTGGAAGCGTGGCAGCGTGTGCCTTCCGCCATCGCCCAGCGCAAGGCAAACGAAGTTCATAGCCCTAAGGCTGGCGTCAGGACAGGCCGTTGGTGCTTCCGCTAGCTGCAGAGGACGCATGCACGCTTCAACAATGCTCGCGGGGTCATATCGCGCAGGTGCCAGGTGCGTTTGAGCAGCCGCCACCGCTACCTGAGCGCGACCCGCGAAAACAGCTGTTGCGCCGTCGTTTCAAATGTGCTTTCCGTTGGCGCGCGATGACGTAAAGTGTTTCCGCGTTCGTTTTCAGCAGCCTATCAGCCTGAAAGTGCAGCCGCAAACATTTTTACGGTGGCTTCTGAGGCAGCGTGAGCTGCCGCAAACTATTGTAAACGAATAAATCGCACTATTATTGCACAAAAAATTATTCCGATGAACGTCACCGATAGCTGTGACGTAGATTGTAAACAACTTCCTGTGACGTGCGCAACGCACCACGACATGAGTGGAGCATGTGGGTGCTCGCTGAAAAGTGATACTTCGGTGTTAATCCCTAGAAGGCTACCGAGTTAGCCTTTCCTCAAGGCGATGACATGTTCGTGATCACGAAAGACGCAGCGAAGCAAAGGTGAGCGCACCGGCCCTCTTCACTTTCACCTCCGAGACGGAGTTTTTCCTGTTGAATCGGATGACCTATTTTTCCCACTGCCATTAGGCCTATCGCAGCGTATAACGTGTATGTGCGCGCGCGCGCGCGTTGCTCTCGAGTGCGGTGTGTGTGTCGCATCTGTGATCGCTGTTTTGGTGGAGTGTCTGTGCAGTGTTAAGCCTAAGCATCAGTCCGCTTTATCGCGTGTCAAATCCGTAATGAACTGGTTTCCGTTGCCTCCCGGAGCATCACCATACTCGTACCAACGGAAGCGACTTTTAGAGCTCGCCGGGTGAGTCACGGAGTGTCGCTTTTCGCGTCCGCAGAGCGGAGAAAACGCGCACGGTCGGATGGTCCGTTGCATCTGTCTCGCTCTGGCGAGTGTTTACTTGCCTCTGATTGCGTGCATTTCTATGTTGCCCGTGTGCGAGAGGCTCGTCGGATCCCCGTCGCGTGATACAGAGCATGTCCGAAGACTTTGAAAGGCGCATCCGTAAAGCTTCTTCAAGGGCGCCGCATGGCAGCGTTGAGGAAATGTAAACATACGGAGTGCACGATCACAACTTTCGCTCGGCCGCTCACGTCTTCCCCGTGACACTTTCGACTTCGGAAACGTCTTCTTTCACGAAACCTTCAGCGGAGCTTTCGCGCGTCGTAGGTTGTGTGGTCGATTCGTGGACTCGGTCGTGCGATATGAAAAACGCTTCGTCCGGCGAAATCTGACGTTGAGTCGCCTCTGCGTTGTCATAACCGCGATCGAGTTTCGCGTCGGGTGGTATTTGCGCGGTTCTAGCGCTTGCGAAGCGATGCAAACATGACGTTGTGCAGCGTTATTTCGTAGTCTGCTTCTAGGCTTACCTTCGCACAAACACTGCTCAGGTGCGGTTGTTATGTTGTTACGTCATTGCGTTCAGCGCCCGGCAAAAACACCCTTGGTCAACACGCATATTTTTGTGGCTTTGATAACGAAGCTGTCGAAATGGACTGTCAGAACGATCGCCGAGGGCTTGTGTCGGTGTTGTTTCCGCTTGTCGATTTGCTCAGATGTCTCGCAAGCCGGTTTTCGTGGTTCGTTGGGGGATCCGGTGGCTAGATTACCGTGTTAATCTCGATCTGTGATTAGTACCGAGCATCGAATTCTTCATTTTATCGCCGCCCGAAACTAGCATATGGTACACTGAAATTAGTGGCATGTGGATAGTTTTCCTGAAACATTGCTATCGTCCCCTCCTTGTGCGTGTTGCTGTTGGAATACTTTAGCAGCTGTCATGTCCTTAATGCACACTTTGAAAGGGAGATGCGTAGGTACTAGTAGCCTAACATGTCGCCGTTCGAAGCAGGATAACTATTTATTGTGTTGCTTTAACGCTGTGCAGTTGTCACTTTAGATAAAGCTGTGTCGTTCATCACAGTTACATGCAATAATGTTGAGTAACGAAAGTGGAGTACATTCACCTTGCTGTCACAGCAAGTAGGTTGCCAAGACTTTGTCGCTTCTTTTGGAATTTCAATGACAAATCATGCTCATTGACTTGCATGACATTTCTGGCACATGGGAACAGGTGTTGATGTGTCATATGATTGAATGGAGCTGTTTGGCAGGGACTGAAAGGGCACATGGTGCACCACTTCCGTTAACCGAGGCCTGGGTTACGTCACTGGTGGAATTTATGTTCTTTCTTTTACGAATAAAGCTTTATTCTGCAACATTGCATTATCTCATTAGCTGGATTTTTTTATATGACGATCTTATATGCTAATGCACCTTTGTTACATTAGAATGCTACATCTTCATGACATTTTATCGCTGTTATTGTTTGCGTGCCTATTTCACTGTTCATTATTTGTATTTTCTCGCACATATTTCACCAATGCCTCGTTGAACTTTCCGTTGACCATAGGCACCATATGCTCTGCAACGTGATGCTTTCAATGCTATGCACTTAGTCGATCGATGGCTAGACGATATGCGAGACAGAGTGGTTTAACCTCACACATTGTCCGGTAACACCTGCTCAGTTGAGGCCTGCATTTTCAAAACAACGCACATGGTCGGAGATGTGTTTTGAAGCAAGTGTTAACTGGCCTGAGGAACAGAACTGGTGCTTGAAGGGTTACGGAGAAGTACTGCTGGAGTGCGCAGCAAAGTGTCGTCCTTAGGGGAACTCGGCAAATTCTGACATTTGCTTTCATCGATGAATGCGGTGTTGATTGCACGTATCTTTCGAAGACCTGCAATGGCAATGTGCACTTTGCTAGTTCCCTAAGCTTGGTTGTTTAGCAGCCCGTTCACTGGATACGAGTGGCAGGAAGATCGGTCAATAGTTGCATGATGCTGATAGTGATGTGACACTACACATTGTGTGTGATGGAGTCACTAGGAGCACGTGTCATTGCTGTGTTTGTCGCCTTGTGCGGGCAACAAATGTGGTGCGTCCCAGTAAACCATGTGGCATGTTTCAGCACATTATCTACTGATTCAAACTACTTATACATCTTGTGTCCATGCTTGCCAACTCAACCGTAATGACGCTATTTTCCCATCTTCTGAGAACCACAGTGTTAGACCGTCCTAAGCCCTTTCGTATTATGACACCTTTGTCTTCGTGTTGCGATATTCTTCAGTAGTGAGCAACATAAAGGGGTACACTGTGCTTACCTTCAAGTGGCCATCGTGGCTAAGCATAGTTTCCAAGCATAAAAGTGTTTGTAACGCTATATGCTCAAGCGGAAAGGTGTATCTTGAGTGTCAGTGCGTCAGATTTTTATCCTTACATCGCTAATATTCGTGGCTTAAACATGAAATCGGTGATCCCGTTTGTGTTGCTCATGACTACATTGCAATTGGTACTTCCTATACTCTTCCCACTTGCTATTGGCTTCCGCAACACTTTGATCATGCCGGGAATGGCTGCTTAGCAACACGGATCAGAAGGGAATTAAATCTGAAGAAGGATCTCTGATATTCTCTTGTTTTTTGGTTATATTTCAATTTTTTTTTGTCACGTGCATTTTGCTTATTATGCCATATTTTTTCATTCACTAATTCCGCTTTGGCATCATTACTAGCTCCGCTCCTGTGGTGCGTGCCAAAACGGATGGCTTGCAATAAATTTGCGAAGTGAGGAAGGGACATACAACTGCAACTCGAGGTGTTTGTTTCCAAGGTGGATGTTATTGTCAACATGAGCAGTAGAGTACAAATACGGAAAACGTGGACTGTTTGTGGCAGCTGCTGCGTGCAATTGCGATGCGGAGTCACAACTTCAGGGAGAATGTAAGCAGGCTAGTTGACGCCGCTGAGGCGACACAGCATTTTGCAGGGACCCAGTTTAGGGATGCCGCGGCGTGTACGTTTGGCTGCGTAGGGGAACTTTGTACTTCCACTTGATTACTAGAACTGCGTTGTTGCACCTTTGAAAGATCCAATTTTGGTGATTCTGGATTCATTCATTTTACAAGATGCCATTGCATTGCACTGAATTATGCTGAGTACTCTGCATTTCTTTCTGGGACATTTGCCTCCCATCCATTTGCGAAGTTGATGTTGTCTTGTTGCCACAAAAGCTGCCTCGCATTTACAGATGGTATGGGCCTTAGAAAATGGTACAGTTCCTGGTTACCACATTGCGGTGAACCTGTTATGTCGACTCCATCATCCTCCTTGGTTGTGTTTCTGTTCCTCGAATTGTGTAATGTGGGTTATGGTCGGAACGGACTTGCTGGTACAGCCTAATTTGGTACAGTTTGGTCCGGTGTGGCCGTGTCACTGAACTCGACGCATGTCTTGCCAGTGGTTTATCGTTCGACAGTGACTGACATCGTTGCTTGTGCCTGTACGGGACATTTGTATTCATTTGTCAGGGATATGCATGCAATAGCTTGAAAGGACTGACAACCGTTCAGAGCACGTGATTTTATTCTGGTGGCAATGCGAAGACCGCAAATTACGGCCGAAGTGTCCACCACTCCACTTGCTATATGAATGGGGTTCGCATATTTAAATTGCATTTGAATGTCGCAAGAATCTGCATTTTGGGCAACCTTGTGGAAAAGCTCTTGCACTGCATGAATGAATCGTTTATGTTGCTGCATGTAGTCTGCTGTTGTTTGGAGTCACAGTGATTTCTGCTCAGAAATAGCATGAGCATGTGAGGGGTTTCAAGCTCACCTTAGCTAGCTGGTCGTAGTCGCAAAATTTAGTCTCATAAGAGCCGGGATCGTGGGAGTGGAGATAGAGGAGGTGGTGAGAGCTCGAACAGGATGGCGCCTAACAGTGCCATCATTTGAAAGAATGCCTTTCAATATCCCATATATGGGTAATTCTTGAAGGGGATTTGATGTCAGGTTTCAGTACTGATTTCTACGATGACTAATAAATTTTTCATTATCATCATTTTGTCATCATCATCATCATCATGACTATGATCTGGATGCTGATTCTGAAAAGTAGTGTTGGTTTTGACGGTGATGCTTATATTCATAGTGACTGCATCGGTAGCCTCTCGGGAAAAAAAGAAAGAAAAAAGTGATGGTGCTGGAACGTCTGTGTTTTGCCAAACAAATTATTATTAATTGTAATAGGCAAGAAAACAATGTGAGTAGTATAGTAAAGTCGTAAAAAATTGTTCTGTGAAGCCAAGGGCTGCTTGCAAAAGTTTCTCAGGCTGCATGGGGCCTATGAACTGTGTGTTTGAGGCCTCTTTTGTGTAATATTAGGCATGCCTACCTTATTCAGTGCTTACTACACTCAAACCTCATTTTAACAATGTTGCATCTTACAAGAAATTAAGTTCGTTATATCAAAAGATTTGTTATAAAGGTTATTCCTAACACTGTATGCATTCTAATATTATTTTTTATTTACTTTGTTATAACCAGTATTTCGTTATATCGGGGTTTGAGTGTATACGGTAACAGGAGTGGACACTGAGGTGCGGGGCACCCTTCGTGGTGGCTGGTAGAACGGTTTGAAACTC